TTAAAATTAACTAATAAACAGTAAGACATCTGCTTTTTGGGAGACAAGTTGTAAATGTTGCTTCCATTGTGTATAACACTTGATGAAATTTAATGTTTCTTTAAGATATATTTGTGTTAATGACCTTTTTAAACTTGGAATTTTTCACATAGCCTTTAAGTTCAGTGACTTTCAACACATTGTTGAATTTATAAACATTAAATCAAGGTGAATTTTGGTATTTCGCACATTGATATCTTGAATACCACAGATATGTTGAAATGATTTGGAAGTTCCAACCATTTCTTTTAAATATTTTGCCCTTGACATCTTAAATCCTTGGATATCTCAATTTTTTTTTTCTCTGTCTCAGTGAGTTGGAGATAACAAGGTTTAACTGTAATATTTTGTATATAATGTATATATATGATATATATTGTTAAAATTATGTCAGTTCCATTGAAATTCATTTTTAGCTGGGCTTATTGCTCAAAAAACAATTGCTGGCTATAGTCAGCCTGTTCAAGCAGGATGTTGACCCCACAGCCACCAAATTAAAGTTATGTGCTAAAATATAGTACTTACTCTCAATCATCGCTTTTGAGATAATAGAAGCGCTAAATAATTCAGTCCTAAGTCAAACACCATAGTTCATTTGCTATAAGGTTTTTTGATGGTCAATGTTGTCATAGCCTATTTATCTACAAAGATGAAGAAAAGCAGGAGAGGGAACCAGGCTGACCCGTTTGTTTACATTCAGGTTAACTCTGACCCTGATAAATTTGGACCGTGGTATTAGGTCCCCAAAATAAATTTGGTTTATCATATATAAATTTGATATTTTAAAATAAATTTTTCATCAAATTTTTTAAAATAGTTTTTAAATAAAATGTCATTGAAGCCCTTATTTTTATAAGTATCATTATTATTATTATTATTTTTTATTGTTTGTGTTACATATTATTTATATATCTGTTTTTGCAATGTACATGTATCATGCATGTTTCATCATCGTCAGAAACCCACGGGTGATCTCGTCTTTACTCATCACCTGTGGGCAAACTCGCTGAAATATCGCTGTAAAATATGCTAATTTGTTGATTATAGAAAACCAATCAAAAAGTTGGAACTCTTCAATTTTGAAAATATGTTTATTAGTTTGCTATTTATGGTAAACATTTTGACGCTCGTTAAAACGAGCGAAGTTCGTTTTAAAATGATTAAAGTCAATTCGCACAGGTCACTGACATTAAATACCAGTCAGAAATTGTAAGGGAGTACCTTTTTCAAACTGCAAAATGCACCGGTGAGTGGGTTTATTAGCAATCAGTGTGTTAACTAGGGCCTGTTAACTACGGAATAGTTTTGGCATTGCCGAACATACATAACCTGAACTTTAATTCGTTGATTTGCCATCGCGACTCTGTTCAGAAGCCAATCAAATGACCCACGCATATTAATTACATACGACGATTTTTCGGCGAGTTTGCCAACGGATGATGAGTAAAGACGAGATCACCCGTGGGTATCCGACGATGATGTTTCATGTAGAAAAGTCTACTCTGTAAATGAGCCAGGCTCTCTGTACTTTAAGTACTTTGATTTGACCATGTGTTCCATTTTTGATTTCTGGATTCTTCACTGTATTTAATTAATGGCATTCCTCAGTTTGGTTTTGTAAATATTTATATATAATATCACTGATGTTCTTAGGCCATCTTTAATAAAATGTTTGGTTGCCATCTCCCAACTCAGTATTAAAATATTGGGTAGGTCCTAGGGGATTTTTTTTTTAAAAAACTTGGAAATATTAAGTCAAAATAGTTATTAATGGGATGAGATAACTTAAGAATGAATTAAAAAGTAATTCTTTCCAGGAGGTTAAAAAAAGTTTTGAGTCAGGCCGTTTTTAATCAGTAGGTCGGTAGAGGGCAAACAATAAGTCAGTACAATTTTTTTAAAAATGGGCTTACTGAATTAGAATTATTTTGTGGATATAGATTACTCATTGTAGACATGAATAGTTAGCAGTATGTAAAGTTATGAGTTATAGTACCAAGGGTACGTAATGTATTACAAGAGTACGTAATGTCGTATTACAAGTGATGGCATTCTTTATTATACTGGAACCATTTTCACGGTGGTCATATTGCTGCAGTAGTATCTTATTAAGTGTCTCAAACAAACACATGGATTCTGTTCAGTGTAACTATATTTGAATTATGGTTATGGTTATTCAGATAATTAACATCTACTTTTGCTGTTGTGCTGTTGTACAATATCAATAATTAATGGATTCTAAAAATTTGCATTTCCAATACAGTAAAACAGGTTTACCTTGTTTAGACTGTTAGGTTTACCGTTTAGTGAACAATTTTGCAAATTCATGCTTTAATATCACTTGTATACGCCATTTTCACAGTATTTGTGTTTTTTCATACTCACTTATGTTATGATGCACTCTGCATCAAAATATATGATTAAACCCTTAACAATTATGACCAAATTATGACAAAATGGTACCCCTAACAAGTTAAATGATATATAACACTCCCATGTTCTAGACAATTAAAATATTAAAGATTTACTACCTAAAATATGGGGTATATTTTGCGTTATGCTGTTGCAGCTGAAAAATGGCTTTGTTTTCCAGTTTTTGTTTCAGGAGATTTACAATAAAAACTCTTAGTTATAGATGTCAAATCATTGTGAAATTATCCCTCTTTTATATGCAGTTTACTGTATGTAAATCAACAAAATATTAGCGAAATAATGTTTATAAATATGTGAAAATGCAGATACGTTATGAAATTTAATAAAATTCTACTGTTTGAACTTGCAGTTTAAAAAAATATATGTTAATGCATTACTCTTACTTTAGGTTCATTTTAAAATTAGAGTTAAATGATAAATGAAACAGTAGAGAAAAGTTTGAGTGGATTCTTCGAAACTTAAGAAAATGACACATTTTCTTCTTACTGGCATCAAAATGTCCCAAAATTCTGTAGTGTCCGCAACATGTACTTATTCTGGAATGCATTATGAATTATATTTCTTTTATTTTACATGTAAGAGGCCAGTACAGCTACTAATGTATCTACCAAAAAATATCAGACTTTAGCTCAGTGTTGCTTGGAATTCTGGCAAATATATTGTGTTTTGTAGAGTCCGCAACGCTGTAGAGTCCGCAACAGCTTTTTAAATTCACAGTTTCTTCAAAAAAATGTAACATGATTTCAATTGATCATCACTATAATTGTCCAAATATTCAATACAAATATGTAAGGTTACAAAACTTAGTGGAACTATAACTTCATACTTTGAATAACACCCATAACGACTTGTTTATACATAATATTCAAAATCTTTCAATTGTCAGTCTTATGTTATATATTGAAAGTTAATTTTCATGTGGTATTTAAAACTGAATAAGTGGAAACTAAAGAATATATCAAGATGTTAATTGTTAATTAATAAGTCTAGTTCTAATTAATACAGTTGTGTTGCGGACACTACAGTAATAACTATATACCACATTCATTTATTATTTTCACTTTTTATTTCAATAAATATTTTTGAAATGTAAAACACTTCTCTGATATTTTGCTCCTTTGATAATACAATTAGTTAACTGGATTAAGATAACAAATGGTGATTTTTGTACAAGATAACACTTCAAAGGCTGGGTAGCCATTTTTGACTAGCCTTTTTTATTTCCCTATAATATAACACCATTTACTGTACATATAGAACTAGTTAGAGATTAAGATTTTCAGTTTACTCCATTCAAACCAAATATGGTGTCATATAGCAATATTCAATATATTGTAGTGTCCGCAACAATTTCAATACTGAAAAAAAATTATGGATGCCTCAGTAAATTCTTTAATTCATTGAATTTATCTATAAAACTATTTGTTATAACTTCTTTAATTATATTAAAATAAGTAAAATCATAGACATTTTTTAAAACTGCAAAACAATTATACATCAAGAAATAATTAATGGTCCTTGTTATGTGGTTATTTTCATCTCAATAAACCACATTCTGCATCTTTTTATATGATACATTTTCAAGAGTTGATCCGGTGGTATATAATTCAGCCTAGAAATGAACATTTATCAACAATTATTTTTATAAAAATGACAAAAGATTATTCTTATGGTTACTTGTAGTGTCCGCAACAAAAATTCTATGCATTTTCAAAGCTAGACAAGATACAAACGAAGATATCCAGGGTGTTATGACAAATGTATTTGAAATTTAGAAGTATTCAATTTAATTTTCACATGATAATTATATAGGTCTTATGTGTGATTGTAAAAGTAGATAAACTTAAGGAAGGGAGATAAATTAGGCAAAAAAATTAGCAAGTCATTAATGTGAATAAAATTTTTGTTTTCAAAGAGAACCATAAGATTTTTCTTTTATTTCACTGCAATTAGGTACATAATCAAAACCTGCAAGAAGTTTGGAATAAATAAATATCTTTAATATTTTATTTTAGACATAACAGGTGTAATGTAGTGTCCGCAACACAAGGTCTCGCCCAAAATTTGACTTCGCATAACTTTTTTCGTAAGAATGCTTATATAAAAAAAATTTGGGACTCATTTGCATAGATATTGTACTTTCTAGAAAACATGTCAATAATGTGCTGTTTGACTTTTTATTTTTTGGTCCAAGTGCAACACAATTAGCACAAATACTGTGAAAATGGCGATAATAAACTGATATTTTTGCACCTTATTATGCTAATTACTTAAAAATAATTAATAAACTAGGTACTAAAAGGAAGCAATAATAGTTGTCTCCAGAGATTTGTGTGTTTCACTGTACAATGTTTCAATTTTTGTCATCTCTGGAGAATCGTCTGTTTCACCGTATAATTGTTTCAATTTTAGTCGTCCCTGGAAATTTGTGTATTTCATTGTACAATGTTTGAATTTTAAATTCTGATTTTAGCAGTCCCTGGAGATTCGTGTGTTACACTGTTTCAGTTCTAATTGTAATTTTGTAGATGGACTTCATCCTCGTCAGGACTCCATGGATGTTAGTTGTGCAATGGAAGTAGAATGCCGCTGTAACGAAATACTCAAACCACTCGAGCGACGTCGGCAGCGAGAACGACACAGGTGTCTCGCTCATTCATTGGTAGGGACACCCAATTACATCGCACCGGAAGTGCTTCTTCGAGAAGGTAAACATTGGTTTGATACCTTGTTGGTCTTCTGCTTCAGTATCCAGATAGTGGTCTATATACTAAACTTTTTGGGAAAATTTTTCAGCCAACATTTCTCAAGCAAGGTACACACTAAGATCTTCATGAATTGTTTTATGAAGACAATGTTCAGAAGGTTGGCTTGGGGTGCCTATTGTATGATATCCCAGTTAATGACTCCTCTCCATACTTAGATTTGTCTGGTTATTTTAGCTGGGAGGTTATTTAAGGGAGGCTGTTGGAATTGTTTTACCCTGTCATTTTACAGAGCTGTTAGTATTGTATCCTGCAACCACTGCTTGTATTGACCAAAGGTTGAAGGTAACCCACAGAGGCATAAACCAAAGCTATAGTCAGTCACTGCATTAATATAGCCATGTACATCCAACATGTGATGTCATCAATATTGCTTTGTTTACACAGTGGCATCTTAGATGTGCCTAAATTTGTTGAAAATGGATTCAACTTGTTAATTTGAAGGTCAAATGTAAAACTATGCCGCTGGATAACAAAATACATGATAACTGTCTTGAAATTTAAGCTATATTTGGACTCGGGTTGAAAACGTGATAGAGGCTCAACAAGCCTCACCCTCTATCAGGTTTTTTTACCCTCGCCCAAATATCACTGATATTTCAAGACAGTAACCATGTATTTTTATCTATGGTCAGGGAGGGTCTAGTTGATGGAATAATTGATCCTCCGATTTTATGTCAATATATTATAAGAACTGTCTTGTTAATATTTGTGGTTTAAAAAAAAAAGCATCCACATCGGAGTCCCCTAGCGGCATCTTTGTATCTTGTTGTAAAGGCTGCGGGAAGTGTCTTGACTCGGAGTAGAGCAAAAATTAACACCACAATTCTTTTATCCCCTATACAGTAGTAGACTGTTTTAACATGCTTAATATTAATTTGGTATATTTGCTAATTTCAATATCAAAGTCAATCATAAGACATTTTTAAATGTTTATTTCATGCAACAGTGTAATGTCAATATGTGATCAATTAAGTTGTAAACATCACCCAATTTTCATGTTTTTAAACTATGTATCCATGTTTTTGATTGGCTACTTTTAGGTTACACCTCCTGCTGTGATTGGTGGAGTGTAGGAGTTATACTTTATGAGATGTTAGTTGGACAACCTCCCTTCTATGCCAATACTCCGGCCGAGACCCAATGGAAGGTGAGATCATTTTTAGAGCAGCAAAATTCCTTAATCAAAGTCAGTTAACATTGAATTTATAGGGGCAATAACCCTTGTGAGTTCACCTCAAAACAGTGTGACATCTATAGGAGAATGATCTATGGTATATGGGACATTGTCAGTTGACATCATGTGAAAGGGTTGAAGTCAATAATTCTAACCTGAGTGTCTTTTTTTTATTTAAGCCTCAAATATGGGGCAAAGGACAGACTCATTCTAGAGACAAGTTTATATAAAAAGATTCAGTTTCCTCAAAAATGGTCAGGTGGCATTGTTTTTAAAAAAGTTTTTTTGGGGGGGGGATCAGAATTTAATCGAGTCTTAACGATAGGATAACATGTATGTCTGTGCCATCTAATTTTCCTCTCATCAAGTTAATCATAAAGATCTGTTCTAGTTTTCCTGAACTTTGACCCTTGTTTATGAGTGAGGTGTATTTTGAATTCTGTCAAAGCAGTACGTACCTTATGCTTGCTTGTCACAGAGCTCGAACATTCATCTTTCTGTCATATGATAAATCACCACAAAGTGTTAAATCGACATTGTTTTAATTTTTTTCTTTCAAATTACCTTTGATGATCAATCATAGAAGTTCAAATAAGAGTCGGAATCCCATTCATACCACATGAGCAGCACATTGTGCACTTTATTGACACGTAAAGGAAGAAAAAAGAATGGGAAAAGAACAATTTTGTTATTTTTCCATTATTGTTCATTATACATATTGTAGAAATAACAGCTTAGTTAAAGGGGTTGGGGCTTAGGAGGGGTATTTGGGAGGGGGAGGGGGATAATTTATATTACACTGTGGGTGCTACTAGGTTAGACTAAGTGATAATGAATTTTGGGTCCATTAAAGTGTGTGAGTGGATATTTGATTGTTAACACTTGGCAGAAGTTTTAATTATGAGAAATATATTATTTGTATCGATAATTGATTAGTCTTGTAAAGTTGTGACGTTTACACTTGGTAGGATAATTATGATAGATATTGTATTTGTGTGGATATCTGATGTGCTTGGATAGCTATGGTGTTAACACTACATGTATTATGATAGATATTGTATTTGTGTGGATATCTGATGTGCTGGGATAGCTATGGTGTTAACACTACATGTATTATGATAGATATTGTATTTGTGTGGATATCTGATGTGCTGGGATAGCTATGGTGTTAACACTACATGTATTATGATAGATATTGTATTTGTGTGGATATCTGATGTGCTGGGATAGCTATGGTGTTAACACTACATGTATTATGATAGATATTGTATTTGTGTGGATATCTGATGTGCTGGGATAGCTATGGTGTTAACACTACATGTATTATGATAGATATTGTATTTGTGCGGATATCTGATGTGCTGGGATAGCTATGACGTTAACAGACTGTAGGAGTGATAGTTATGAAAAATAAAGTATAAATATGTTCATGTTGCATTGCTGTAAGTCATATTTTGTCTGTTACATGTTCGTTGCTGGGGTTATTATTAAGTTATTATTAGGATAGATACGGTATGTATGTGTGACATTGCTGTAAGGGAGTGATTTATTATGATAAGTACGGTATGTATGTGTTTATGGGACATTCTTAGAATTCCTTAGCTGATAATGATGATTACATACAATGCTTGTGTCAATAAAACAGAGTCTGACAGCCTTCTGGAGTGGAGTGTTTACATAATGTTAACAGGGCTACGGGTAGAGAGGATTAGCGGGAATACACTTCTCCTGAGCTCACTTTGTTATAGAGGTCAAATTTCCCCTCCTCTAGTTCACATCCAATAGTCAGAAAGAATACAATGCCCACACACCAAACATGCATGTGTCTTTTACTCATAACAGTGTTTGATAGGAGAACATGTTACAGAATGTGCCAGAAAAAACAACAAGATTTAGTGCTACTGAATCTTGAGAGGTGAAAGTTCAAGGACATTTTTTTGAGGGACAGATACAAAATGTCTCAGTCTTCTTGCATTAATTCATTAAAGTGATATAAATTTTAGTTTTCCTCATTTCCCATGTATTTACATTGGAACCTAAGCAATCAGTAAAAATAATTCATTCAACCTCATTATCCTGAACATCAGCGCTATGTCAAAGTGGGCTGGTGGTCTCAAACTTTATTATGAAAACTTGATACCTTGGAAGTTTTATTATAATTTTGCAAATATTGTTCAAGGAATCAAGCTTTACTGTGATATTGAGGAATGAGTCAGAAAAAGATCATGTTAAAAAATATTTTAGTATTATTTTGATGTGTTTGTCATTCATTTGTCCGCGTAATAACAGTTTTCTGTATCTGAATTTGTTGCAGGTGATTCACTGGGATGAGACCCTGAAGATTCCACCAGAAGCCAACCTCTCTGAGGCAGCCCAGGACCTCATTATTAACCTGTGTTGTAGTGCCGACAAACGTCTTGGTCGAAACGGAGCCACAGAAATCAAAAAGCACCCTTACTTCAAAAACATTAATTTCGAAGGACTGCGTAAGTCGCAGCCTCCATGGAAACCCAAGATAAAACATGCCATGGACACATCATACTTTGATGAAATCGATGGTAAATTTGATGATGATTCAGAAGAAGAAATGCAGAAGCCGGATCATCCAATCAACGGCAAACATCCTGAACATGCTTTCCTGGAGTTTACATTCCGAAGATTCTTTGACGATGGAGGACATCCGTATCCATCAATGAAGGAAGACCCCTGTCCCCCCGTCTGTGATCCAAATGAGACCCCTACCAGTAAAGACTCCTCTAGTGCCCCAGTGTATGTCTGATATTGACGAATGTCCGATATGTGTCTGATATCAAAGAATGTCCAGTGCTTGTCTGATATCAAGGAACATCCATTGTGTGTCTGATATCAAAGAATGTCCAGTGCTGTCATATCACTGATGACAGCGATAATTTCACGTCGTATAGGTGCATGTATCAGATAACTGGCTTTGCCGGTGTGACCAGAAATAAGCTCTCTATTCTCATTCTGAGTCTTTTCAGGGACAGCACCTGAAGATTTGAGTGCTTTTGTTCTTGGAAACAATCCCCGACCATATCAGTGCTTTACTTACTCCGAATTATTCCTTGTTAGAAAGTTATTTTTGCCAGGTCTGAAAAATGTTCAAATTCTACTGAAGTTTTTATTGTTAAAAATATGTACAGAAGAATAATTCCTTGGAAATTATGTACAACATTCTAAAATTTTTACCTATAAAATGCCTTTCTTTATATTTTATGCAGTGTAAACAAAGTTGTGTTTTGTAAACTTTGTGTTAGACACAGCAGTCTGTTGTTGAGGTTTGTTTTGAGTAACAGGAAAGGACTGGGGTTATTACAGACTAGATGCCTCTTGGAATACAAGGGTGCACCTAAAAAGTGATGTCTTTCATTTAGTACATTATTAACAAGAAGTTAATTGTTAATCAAGGTCTTTCAAATGTTTGTTCTATATACTGTATGTAGTAATTCTAGTGATGTATAAACAAGATCATGATTGGACAGGGTTATGCTATTAAGTGAAACATACAGTTTGATTGTACAAAAATGTTTTTCTTAATATATATATTTTTCATCCAAATTTATTAATTGTTGACAAGTACAGTAGTGATATTTTATTTCATTTTTCGTGAAATAATCTGGGATTTGAGTGTCTGGAAGACAAATGTTATGAACTATGAACGAAGTATAATATACAAAGGGGGGAAGTTGTCACATGATCTGCAGTAAAGTCATGTTATCTTATGGTCAAGGGATGCAACTCCTTTAGATTTGAAAAATTACAAAAAGGGGGGTGGGAATCTGACAGATCATTTCAAAGACTGAAGTTTTCATATCATTTTGGTTAGTGACTACTGGACATAGCTTCTGGATGCTTTTCTCAAATATTAAGTGAAGTTACTCTTGTGTATATCTACCACAGGTATATAATTCTGTGTATTTTATATTAAATTTATTTTGGAAAGAATTTGGAATTTTTTCAAGAATCTTTATTGAAGTGCTGCAGCATGAATTTTCATGTTATTTTTAAAAAATGAATTGTTCAACAGCAATCAAGAGAGAGAGAGAGAGAGGAGAGAGCATTTAATCTGTTGTTCTTGAGACTGTTTTTTCAGACCCCTCCTCTCGGTGAGAGGGGAGAGTTGTATAAATTTTGTTACTTCTGTTTTTAGGGGGTTTAAGTGAGCATTTGTGGGCATTAGAAGTGAGTGTATAAATAATGTTGACTGCTATTGAACAACTCTGTATCCCCCACCCCCTAACTCCATTATCATTGTAAATACTCATCCTTCCACTATTTCTGTAAAGTGTGATATATAATATTTTACAAAAAAGCTTAGAGCTTTTGTTGAATGATATGGTGCATTATCTGTATAGAAGCGTTTTATATTTATCTACAGAGCTGAATGCAAAGCATCCTGGGAATGTACAGATGTGGTCGAAAGTGTATATATTGTACAGTGTAAAACTAAAATGTCTGACCACAATTATTGTCTGAGGGTATGTATAGAACTAAACAAAATTGTAAAGGGAATATGTAAAATATACTGGCAATATTCTCAAATAAACTATAAAAAATTGACTATGGGTTTGTTATTATTTTATAATCTACACTTTCTCTGGAATGCTTATTTTTTTTAAGGTCAACTGAGTCACCCAGGTGACTTATTGCTATCTGTTTTTATACGCCTGTCTGAAGACGGGACTTAATATGTTATGGCGTTCATGTCTGTCCATCTGTCTGTCTTAGCTTTTTCGTGTACGGCTATCAAACTTTGTCAGCTGATACATGTTGGGAAGAAGGTGTGTCACACATTAAAAGTAGGTCACTGTGACCTTTAATTAAAATTTTATGGCCAAATATGGAAAAACCCTGTCCGGCTCGTAACTAGAAAACTCTTAGACCTAGGATCCTCAAACTTGGCCAGTTAATGCATCTTGGGTAGAAGATGTGTTGCATCCTATTTAAAGGTCACTGTGACCTTTAATTAAGATGAAATTTAAAAAAAAAAAGAAGATATTTGTTTTTTAACTTTTATAACTTTTAAACTACATGTAAGAGTATTGCAGAATCCTTATTAAAAATGTTAAATCAAGAAAATACACATTTTTTTCATTATATATTTTACAGGAAATCTATAACAAAATTAATATAATGTTTCTTTTGTGTCAATAGTAAGAGAAATTCCACTTCTCCCATGGGTGTAATTATCAAGCACTGGTCATGAAGAATTTTGATGACAGATTAGTTTTCTTTCTTATTTCTTTCCTTTCAATCTTTATTTCCTCCATTTGGAGATTTGATAAACAAAACAATTACAACAAATGTACATCAATGAAAATATATTGGAAAGAAAAAAATGTGTAAATTTGCTTATAGGGTACTCTATATGAAACATTAAGGACCCTCTCTACACTGCACCCTATTTTCAGGGTACTTTTGTGTAATAAGACTGACCCACCATTTGACATATAAGTAGAATAAATTGTAATCTGAACTGTATCACATAATTTAAAATAATTCCAAGTATTCTAAACATTATATTAGACCAAGATAGAGTATTCGAAAACTTTATTTGCATGTATTTTATCATTTGAGTAAGCGAAGGCAATTTTTCTTTTCTATTACATCATTGTCTTTGAAGATTTTTCCTGAATAAAAAAGGCACGCTCCCTATATTAAAAATGAGTTAGTTAATTTCAAAATATCCTCTTTTATGCTATATAATTTTCTCAAAGTCCAAAAAACATTTTTCATCAGTGTATAGAGGGTCCTTAAGAGCCATTCTCTGTAATGACTTGAACTTTTATATAGGAGCTGTGGCACGCATAGTCTCAGAATTTCTCCAAACTCTCTATGATAAAAGTTTTTGATACCGTAAATTCAAATCAGGCAAAAATTGGTTGCTACATGCCATGGTTACCATAGCAACATGTCCTAAAGTTTGAAAAATGGCATTTTTCAACATGTTCAGAGTCCCACAGTTAATAATTTGCAGCAAAGCAAACAAGTGGCAATGACTGTTTCTGAAAGTCTAAGGCCTGACGTCTTAAATGCATGATAAACATGTTTGGTAAATCAACTATTACATACGTTACTATGGAAACAAAGTATTCAAAAGTTTGTTCATTTAATTTTATAAAGTCGTACACTTAAGAATAAAAACAATAATAGGATGAAATGCAAGCAAATAATAGACAAGAGATCCTTATAACATATACCAAGGACGAAATATGATAGTTCTTATAGATTGGCAATGGTTGCCATGGTTTTAATACCACAAAGGGATTTTAAATTTACCCTCTTAATATTTTAATCTTATACAATCTTTTTAAGTAGCATATTTCTATATAACTGATGATCAATTTTTAAAGGCGTTGGTGTGACCCTAATTATTTTCACATTTCAAAAAATTCAAATTTAATTCTGTAAATAGAGCGTTGCTATGGAAATTAGCCGAAAAATATGCATAAAAATCTGAAAAATATTCTGTTTCCTTGGATACGTACCCTTGTATATAGATTCCCAAAACTTTTATGATTGATATACACGAACTACTAACCTGACTTTCAATTTTGACCACTGCCCAATCTCTAACTGGATGCAAAAAGCTGGTACGTAGGATTTGATATTGATATAAAATTAACAAAATCGAACATTTTCCCCTCTTGGTAACCATAGCAACAGTGTTGTATTTTTCAACAAACTTTATCAATATATGATATTCAACTTTAGTTCTACCAGATAAGTACTATTCAAGGTGAGTCAAATGATATGTTTCTTGATTAAAAGGTAAGTAAATTCCTAAAGCAGCAAAAAAAAATCACCTTAAACAACTGGTACGTTGTTTCCATGGTTACATTGCAAAGTAACAATTAATCCCAATTTTTCTTATGTTGTCGGTGTTGCAAGGTCGTAAAGATTTTATTGTTTTTCCTCAAGAAAGTAGCATTAACCCAATCTTAGCAACAGATTTTGCATGGTAACACTGTGTTACCATGGCAACCATCAAATTTATTTTTAGAATAATATTGCCAATACCTAATTACTTAATTAAGGTCCAATAGTTTTATTGTTTTTCTTTGGTTGTTGATTGATTTTGATCATGTAACATCTATAATTAGTGAATATTGAGCCTTTTTCAGCATTTTTCAGCATCTAAAATGTATTCCATATGTACCCATGGTTATCACTTGCTTAGAGATAAATTCTAAATAGTTTCTTTATGGCAAAAGTGGCAACAAGGTGTCATGTTTTTGTGAGAATGGTTTGTTTGTTTTTCTTAGTCTTTATTAAGGCTTAATAAAGATTCAAAGTAGCTGAAAATCTCAATTTTTTTCAACTTTTCTGGCTGTTACCATGGCAACCAAGACACATAGCAACGAAATTTTGTTTGATATATGTTTCTGGTTCAAGTTGTAATAATGGGCAAAGTTTCATCAAAATCGATGACCATGCGTGGCAAAGAAGTTTAAGTGGTTACAGAGAATCGCTATTAAAACATCTCGTGTGTGTATCATACATTATCGTGGTAAGTTGCTACACTAGATACTATGAATGAAAAACATATTAACATGAATTTCTTTTGTCTAAAAGTTGGTCATAGGTACCTCTAAGAACAGATAGGTAAAAACTGTATTCATTTAATGTGACAAAATCTGAATAAACATCATTGTATTCATTTGATAATTCAAACAAAAATTCAGATCTTACATTAGGTGTTATAGAGCAAGTTGCTATGGCATGTTGAAAACTGTTTGTAAAGGGTTTCGAGCAGATAATGCACAGACATGTATACTTCTTCGGTACAAGATTCCACAGATTTGCAATGTTCTTAACAACTTGCATTTCTTTTGATGAAAATGAAGATGTCCATTGTGAAGCCAAATGTACAGTTGTATGAAGAAACTTGAAGTCATCGAAATCGCAAAGGAATCCGCCTCTCAGTTGCTTGTGTTGGATTAAATAGTTCTTTCTGGCTAGCCTAACTTTGAAAATGAATTTGGTATAAAGTAGTTAAAACAAATTTGATATTATATAATATATTTTTTTTTTATATTTTAATTTTTATATCTTTACAACAAATGCAGAGTGTCATGTCTCACTAAGATTATAAGTTTATAGTCTAAAGAATAAACATGATTTATGTTTTGATGTTTTATTAGGCTGTAGCATTGGTAACATTCATAAAAAATACAATAAACAAAGCTGCAGATGGGCATTTGTTAAACTCTAACACAACCAGTTGAGAAATACTAATATATGATGTATTATTTGTTATAATTAATACCTACACCACAGGAGATGAACATCAAACATAATAAGGAATGGAAAAATCATTGAAATCGTTGTACCAAAGTTGACATGATTTTCTTCCTTGCACTCTAAACGGATTATGATAATAGAACAATATTTATCGGGTGTATATATATCTGTCCTCATGGATTGTGAGTTAGCATTTGAACATTTTCAGTTTCTTCTCTTGAACAGCTGAACCATTCAACCAATTTCAGTATATGGCATCTTTGGGTGAAGGGGAACAAAGATTGTGAATTTCATCCTCCCCCGGGTCTGAGAGGTGGGGCTAAAACCATCAAAATTATGGCAATCTTTAAAAATCTTCTTTACTCCTAGACACCAAGTAGTTAAACTGTTGGTATGGTTGTTATAAACAATGAGTCCTCATCCAAAATTGTGAAATTTATGGCCTCTGGTTTAGATGTTCTGGTGGTGGGAGGGGCTCTATTGATATCAATTCAATTCAATTTATTTATTGATTCACCAAACATGTTGGCATACAACCATGTTACATACAAAATGAAAAATACAGTGTGTTTTCAGATTACTAAAACACATACTAAAGTACATACATACATGCAAGTGTACAAATCAGTGAAGTCAACTACGTTTACAACTTGAAGTAAAACATAATCATTATGCAGATAGTATAAACAGTATAATATGGACAGAGATAAACTAATTAATGCATTAAATATATATTATTGTGCTCTATTTTTAGAACGCAATTCAAAACATTCATGTAAAAATTCGCATAGCCTTCTAGAATGAACTGCATTGTCAGGATTACAAAGTACTTTACAATGATTTTCCTTCAACATGTTATCATTTAAATTATAGATGTTCAAAGGGTAATACTTTTTTCGCAAATCTATATATATAGGACAGTCACATATGAAATGTATTTCATTTTCTACAACAGTTTTACAATAGTGACAAAAACGAGATTCTTTTGGGATACAAGGCTTTGAATATCTGCCTATTTCAATTTCTAAAGGGTGTGCAGAAATTCTCAGTTTTGTTAATTTAGAACGTACAGATTTATTAATTGGAAATTTCAAGTAGTCTTGTAATTCATAGTTCTTTCTAATTTGACTGTAAAATAATAATTTACCACATTTGGTGAATTCAATGTTCTGAAGTTGCAAATTCATATTTTTTATGTAGAAATTCTTCAAGTAGCTGCTAAATGTGTTATCAGTAATATCTAATGATGGAAGTTTAAGTTTCTTTTTTAATTTATCAATCTGACTGCCAATTATCCTTTACACCATTATGATATA